TAAATGAAGGAATACTGCTCCTTGAGGAGATACTAGGGAACACTCCCACTCCAGTACATTATTATGCTGATAATAACAATATGGTCTTTGACACCAGATACTTTAAAGTTTCACAATGACCTTATACTCAAACGGAGCCGATCCTGATATTACTGTTCCATGCACTGTAACTAACAGTGAGGGCTCAATACTTTATAGTGTCACCACTGAAGTTCAAGATTTAGATCAAGTGTCTTTTCTTTATCGACAGAATTTATTGATCGCTCGCTATTCTGTGACACATGGGTGCTAGATGATGTCTCTGTTCCTTTTAAGTACAATGGACGGTTGAGGATCATTTACGAAGAAGATTTTGATGACAGTGAAAGCATTTCTCCTGGATGGGACATTACAAATGAAATCCAATCAAAAGATTTGATGGAGTGCTCTGAGAAAGATGATGGCTGCTTGTATTTTGATGAAGGGATTGAGATGTCAACTCATCAAGCTGTTTCTCCCATCATAACGATTAGTCTCATTGTACCAGTACAACTACCAATACCCATTTATTATGAAATAGCATGTCAGCCTACTGAAGAAATATCGTAAGTTGCTATTGGCCTTTTTACTTCTTTTTTTGTATTTTAGGGCTACCGTTAGCTTCCTATTGCATTTAAGACAGTTTGTCCAAGCAACCCCCACTACTAATTTCTTTCCTAATATCATCCTTCTCAGTCTAGTAGCATCAGGTGCTGGCCAGTATACTAATACACAATTAGCTTATTATGCCCCAGTAGGTAACAAGTATTGGACTAATTTCAATACTACGCATCTCAATGGTGTACCTATATATTCACCTAATCCTATGCAATACACTGTAGTCTCATTCTGTATACACAAGAACACTGAACTAGTATCATTAATATGGACACAAAAAACTACATTTCTAACTATGATATTTGGAGTATTAGCCAACCAACTGTAACATTGGAACAAATAACTTTGTAAGTTATGCATGTACATGTACATATATGTACATGTATATGTACATGCATAAAATGCATATAAGCTCCAAGAATTGTTTATCCTATAACACATAGTACATCTCTGAATTACACTAATGGTGATATATCTAACCAGTCAGTGTGTACTGGTCCTATGCTATTAATGGATAAAGGAGATGGACTCATACCTTGTGTTGCTAATGTCACTTTTATCATGAACAACAGCTTGAGTTCAGGTATTGGAGCTGTCATTGTGATTGTAATACATGTACATGTACAACTCTCATTTGTTTATTATTAGGAGGAGGATACAACTGTAGAATATGCTTCCAAACTACCATCTGTGAGACAGCTTGTACTATTACAATTATGGTATGATAACAATTGGAGGCTACATGTAGCGTAATTATGTTCTCTTCTTAAATGAGGCCTCATGTACACATTATTGGGAAACTCTGGAAGAATGGTAACCTCACGACTAGTGAAAAACTCTGTTTTTTGAACAAATATAGTAATCATACAGCAGAGTCTGAAACTGTTAGTTTAATGCATGTTTGACTAAATGTGCATGCATATACATGTACATGTATATGCATATACATGTTGTTATTATTTATAATCTTGTGATTACAGTAGCTCATTATAGAACTTAAAGTTCAAACTGTAACATCACATAATTTTGATATTGTTAGCGGAATTTCTTCTGAAGCTAATTCTATTTCATTACCTAATGAGATATTCAATACTAGTACTGTCCCAGTTAGAATAGCATCATTTATCAATAAGGACATGTCATCAGTACTTGTACCACGTCACGTAACTATTCATTGCAGTTGGTTTCTCCTGTTGTATCTGCTACCACTGATTGTGAAGAATGTACAACAACTGGTCTAACAAAACCTGTTAGCATCACATTTAACATCTCATCCTCTTCCTATCAGGTAAAGCTAAAAGTAATTTTATTTGCTTTTAAATATTGTCATAGAATATGAATTTAGATACTGGAATATTTCATTGTGTTTACTGAAAGATTGAGTACAATACCTTAGCTAATGAACATAGTGTTAATGGTCGTTGGAATGAAACTGGTTGCAGCTATGCCTCAAGACATAAAAGATATTGTCACTTGTCATTGTAATCACTTGACTCATTTCGCTATTCTACTCAGTCCTGGAGCAGGAGTGAGTCTGCAATTACTAGTTATTATTTTACCATTTTAATGTGTAGACTGTTGATCTACAATACGCTGACATTCTGACTGTCATTGGTTATGTGCTTGTCCCTATCTCATTGGTATGTATGTTACTAACAATACTGACATACTCTTGTATGAGGTGGCCATGCCATTTATTAGCAATTTGTCATCATTTATTGCAGGAAGCTCTACAGTTTGAGGAACTACATACACGTAATGCTGTGTACCAACTTGTTTTTATCACAAGTGATTTCCTATTTGGTATACAGAAAACTCAAAGCATAGTAAAATTAATAGTAGCCATCACCTTACTTCTTTAAATCTTAAGGTTGCCTGTTCAGTTATTGCTGCTGTACTCCACTACATGTTTCTAGTCACATTTATGTGGATGCTAATGGAAGGAGTGGTTTTATATGTACTTTTAGAAAAAGTATTTATTTCTTGTACAAAACGTTATGAAGTTATTTACTATTCTCAGTTATTGTAAGTAAATGGTGTACTTAGTGACAATGTTGTGTTGTGTATAAAAGGTATTCCGGCAGTTTATATGATGACAGTTGTTCCTATTGGATACGTAGTTGATACTGGTAATGATCAACCTAATCACTACTTGTATGATGATAATGAAGAACTGGTTGCATAAGTAACAGTATATACTAGTTGTTTTATGATGTACAATAGTTGCTGGTTGAGTTATGAAACTGGATTCATATGGAAATTCATTGCACCTGTCATACTCATCATTCTGGTGAATTTGAAAGTAAAACTGCAACTTTGGTTGACTTAAATTTCATAGATAAACACTTATTTCTTAGTTGGAGCTCTAAGTGTAATGAGAAAGCACAGAGTATTGCTAGTGTACAATACCAAACTAGACGATGTCAAGTGAGACCATATACTATTGGTTGAAATCATCATTATCACTGACTGTTGTGATGGGCATAGCATGGCTTGGTAATGTCATCTTCTTTAGGAAAGAGCTTCTCTTCATTGCATACATCATGACAGTCTTCATTGCTGCT